GCCTGTTAACTTTCATCGACCCATTTCTTTATAGCCGGTAGGGAAATATTAACTAGGACATAGTCTTGCTCTTACTTTTAGTCTATAAAAATTTGGGTCATTTTGGAGGTGACATCGACTGAAAGAGCCTAATGTAATATTTTTTCGTAGAAAAATAAATGACGCGATTAAAAATTAAAGTAAAAAATTCTATACGCAATTGTTGATTTGTTGTCTAACTTGTTTGATCCAAAATATTTGGTAAAATTGAAACGAGGGAGTAAACGTAAAAGGTGAAATATATTTTCAATTCCAGAATTGAAAATGAAATCATTCTTTGAGACAGTAGGCTTCTATTGTTTAAACAAATATTTTGGACCTTTTCTTCAAAAAATAAAAATAATAAAAATAAAAATCTTCAGAGCAAATAGAGAATTTGTACAGATTAGGCCAAAAGGAAAATTATAGCGATGATCTCTTGACTATTAAAATTGCAACGAGTCGATCCTATTGTTCTGTAGTTCCCACCAATCCATTTTGTAGCAAGTCAGTCTAGGGATGGTAAAATATTCATTCCAGCCCTGATTTATTCTCGGCTTTTGTTTATTTATTTATTATTATTATTTTGTAGACATTTGATTTTTTAGAGACTATTATTATGCCCCGCAAATCAAGTAGAAATTTGATTTCTGTTTCCGGTATAATAGGATAAAGTTACTCTATAAAATCAACGTTTGGTGCTCTTTACATTTTAACGAATAAAGTTGTTGTTTGCTTTGTACATATGATGAATGATCTTTATATCTTAAACTATTTCACAAATAAAATTAAAGCTACTTCTGTAAATCATAAATAAAAGTTGTACCATATTAGTGTTATATATCTATATCGCATTGGACAAATCAATTTTACAAACTATAATGACTAACTAGAGATGGTGCTCTCAACTCGATTAAAATCGAACCATTATCAGTTTGTGATTTTTTGTTTGGAATACAATATGACCAAAATATCCTCCCTTTTTTTCTAATAGACAAAAGGACATAGAGTCAAAAGAAATATTTGAACTAATTCATTCTGATATGTGTGGATCCGTGAATACGCCTACGAGATAAGATTTTGAGTATATTTCTTTACAAATTATTACTCTAAATTCAAATACATTTACCTAATAGTTTTGAGAGCCAAATACTCATTTGGATAAAAGTATTAAGACATTATGATCTAATCGAGGTCGTGAATATCTCTCGAAAGAATTCAGGAATCACTTAACAAAAATTGTATTATTTGTCAATTGAATACGCTTGGTACATCCCAACAAAATGACGTTTCAAAAAGAAGAAATATAACATTGTTAGATATAGTTAGGTCAGTGATGAATTTTGCAATTCTGCCTAACTCAATTTAGGGATATGCACTGAAAATAATAGCATATATTCTTAACTTAGTTCATTCTAAATCTCTTTCCAAGACTTCCTTAGAAATATGAAATGGGTACAAGTCCAACTTGCATCATATTCGAATTTGGAGATTTTCAACTGATGTGCTGAAAGGGAAGGCAAAAAAATTGGAGTTTATGTCAGAGATATGCACATTTGTATCTAAATTTGCCAAAGGATACTATTTTTATAATCAACTAGACAGAAAGGTCTTTTGTTAGCACAAATGCAACTTTTCTAGAAGATAAGTATATTAATGAACGTTGATCCAAGAATAAGATCGTATTGGAATAAATGAGTAGAAGCAATTCCATCCCATAAATTTCTGAAGCGTAACCTCGTGACAGACAACCTTTGGTGTCAGAAATACCTAGACAATGTGAATAGAGTAGGAGAGATGAATTGTAATTTGATCCTATATATCAATAGAACGTTGAAAAGTAATGAGGAGATAATAGCGTCACCTAATGATAATGTCAACGTTAATGAAAATGTTATGATTTCAAATATCGCTACAATCCAAGATCAATCACCCCTTAGACAAGTCCATTGGTCATCAGTTCGCCTTCTAGGCACATGTTGATTGGAGAGTCCAATCTGACGATCTCTATGGCATAAGTTGATGATCTAACTTCATTTAATAAGACTGTGAATGATGTGGATGCAACGATCCACTTATAGGTTGAAGCGAACGTCGAGGTCCTTGAATGAAGGATTCGACAAGGTGATCAAAACTTTGATGAACCCTATGTCTATAAGAAGAGACATGGCAAAATTGTAATCTTTCTGGTGCTTTATGTGAATGATATTCTGCTAATTGAAAACAATGTGGGAGCTTTATCGTCTACAAAAAGCTTGGTTGACCCAACAATTTCATATGAAGGACTTAATTGAAACTAGCTATGGTTTAGATATTCAGATCTTAAGAGATCGAATAAAGAAGCTTAGAATTTTATCTCAAACTTCATATATTGATAAAGTACTTGTCAGATTTATCAATTGAGATTCCAAGAAAGGTAATCTGCCCTTTAGACATGGAACCCAACTCTTTAAGGACTAGTTTTGTAAGATTCTAAAGCGATAGAGCGCATGAGTAGGACACCTTATGCATCGATAGTTGGTAATCTCATGCATGCTATGCTGTGCAATAGGAATGACATTTATTATTGATATGGTAAGTCGATATCTATCTTGTCCTAAGATTGATATATTAAATGGTAGTAAAGCATATCCTTTAGTACCTTTGAAGAACAAGGAGTTATATATTCCTTGCTGTATCTTATTTCGATGAGTTAAAAGGATTCGGAATTCCAAAGTAATGAAAACTATCACAAGTCCACATTAGTGTTTAAAATTGATGGTGGGGCCACTATTTGAAGAAATATCAAGCAATCATATATTGCTGATTTCAAAATTGATGTCGAGTTTTTGGTAGCTACTAAATAGGCTGTATAAATCATAAAATCCTAATGGATATCGAGTCGGTGACTGCATCTACACAACCCTTTACATTGTATTAGGATAATTGTGGGATTGTAGCAAATGTTAAAGAATCGAGAGTTATCAGAAAAAGTAAACACATTGAACAAAAAATATATTATTTCTCAAGAGAGATAATTAGTAAATAAAATGTGGTTATTAGTAAGATTGCTACTGAGAATGGCCTTGTAGGCTCGTTTATTAAGAGCTTGTCGACTAATATTTTCAAGGGATATCTATAAAAAAATGAGGTTGCAAGACATGACACATATACTCTAAGGCAAATGAGAGATTTATTGAATTATGTGCCCATATAGACAGTATTTTTTCTATGATAAAATAATATTTTGTATTGAGTATACGAATCAAAATGTCTATGATCACTTGAAATAATATAAGTTGGGTACTTGTGTTGAGAAGTTCAGTATGACATAACTTATATTTTGATAATAAACAATTTGTTCATGATCAATATATGAGAGTTGATATATTGTACTAGAAGGTTGTAGGTAGGTAGATTTATTGTTCGGATTTGTGATTTATCCTTATCACGTAAATAATTAAATACGATACTGATATACTTCAAGTGTATTGAAAGGACCACATGTCGAGTTTATTCCATTGCATGATCGTGCAAAAAATTAAAATTCACTTGATCACTATATAATCCATCTAAATTCCTCGACAGTGTTATGTATATTTTTCATGATTTTAATCGGTCTTTGAATCATTGACGGATAGGTCAATTTGATTGTTCAAATATTTTGGTGAGTTGGGAGCTTGAGAATGAACAAAATAGAGAACATGAATTCGCGTCGAGAATTGTCGTCCTGAAAAATGGGTAAAATGACTATTTATGTATTTTTTATTGAACATTTAAAATTTGAGTCTATTGTTTAGCGACAGCTAATTTTCGACATCTATAATTAGTCTACATGACCGTTGAAGAAAATAATATTTAAGTTAGTAATAATAACTAGAAGGTCAAAATGATCATTTATGTTCATACCTAATTATCGAATATTTGATGAAGATAAAATATATGTACATTTGGCCAGAGAAAAATATTACAGATTCAATGACTTCTATGATCTTATATATTCTAAGAGTTTAATATTTTGTTTTTAGTGAAAAAGCAAAGACTAATACTTAAATTGGGTAGTCAATAATCAATTAGATTATTGAAGTTTGGATAATATATATCCGATCGAATATCGGTGGTAACTTTATAACATATTTGAACTTAATTACAATTATTATAAAAGTTTTGAGTTTAATTGTACTTAGAATAAATTTTTGTAATTGATGTAAAGTTATAAAATTAATTGTAATTGTAATTGAAATTCTATGACTACATATGTAATTAAATATAGATTAATTGATTTTGAACTTTAATTAAAACTCTTATTTGAATTTTAATTAAGACTTTTATTTAAATGTGAAATTCTTATTGTATATAAATTAGAACTATTTTATCTTTATATGCTCTCGGGGCGTAGTCTAGTAGTGCAAATGATAGGAGTGAGGTTATCTCACGCCTTGCTGGCAGCCGCAGTGTGGGGGTTCGATTCCTGAGACATTGAATTGAACTCTTTGTAGGCACAGTGTACATGTAACTCTTATTTCTTGACCTGTTGGGGCACATCCCACGATTTACCTCCCTCATAAAACTCTAGGTGCGGGACGATGGAGGTTCTCAAAGTTGAGATTCAACCTTTTTTTTTTTTTTTTAAATACAACAATATATAATACAATAATTATTGTTCAAATTTTTTCAGAACGAAAAAAGAGAGACAAGATACACACGTGAACATTTGAAAGATCTTGTTTCTCAAATTAAAAATACAAATATTTTTTAATTTTCAGATAACTCCAATATCACATTTCAACAGGAACAATAAAGAATTAGTGGGAGTGTGATTCTCATTTTTCCTAAAATACATTTCTCTCTATCTTCTTTTTAGCCACATATTTTTTTATTAAAATGACATTACACAACACAAAAACTTTTTATCTTTTTTAACCATATATTTTCTATCAATCTACTAATTTAAAACACTTTCTTTGAAAATAATGGAGCTACCAACATAATATGTATACAGTAGCAGTGAAGGAACCATAAAAACTAAAGACGATTTTCAAACCTCACTCAAACTTCTCGCACGGGGGGAGAGAGAGAGTTCAATACGCAGAGCCCATTAGGTTTTGTGAGTTTCAGTTAGAAGAAAACGGATTTGGATCGATTCCATTTCACTATCTTGCACAGTGTGAGCCACCAAACAGGGCCTTTCAAGTTTTCCATGATCTGTCGGTAAATAGAAATATTTGTTTTCCAATTTCGTATTTTCGTTTGCATGAATGATTTAATGCTAATTTATTTTCATAATTTCTCTTTCCTTATGAATTCTGTTCTCTGATTCTGAGTTCGTGGATCTTTGATGAGTAAAATGTGTAAATATTAGGTAACAGTTGATTTATCATGTAGAGTTTCTGTGAAAAACTCGAAATTCACTTGGAGATATATATCATTGCAATGAAAACCTGAAAATTCAAGGAAGAATGAGGGTGGGGTTTCTATATGGTTTTGGGATTGACTTATCAGATACAATAAGGCTATGTTTGATAGCCACTTATTATGGAAAACAAATTCCAACTTCTACTTTTGGCTTATTTGATTTACAAAATTTTTCAAGGAATTTGTTTTCACCTTTGGCCACCACGTCAACATTTTCTAGCTTTTTTTTGAATTCAAATTCTCACCAATATGGTGAGAATATTGGTGAAAATTCGTTTTTGGGGTTACTGTAGCTTTTTTTCGATTGTGTGTGTGTGTGTGTGTTGGCAATGAAAACAAATTCTAAGAATTATTGTAAAAAAATATTTCTCTTTAACTAACAATGTTCATGTAAAATAAAGTTAAACGAACACCAAAAGATATTTAATTTTCTTGATTTTCTTTTTATTTTTTTTATATTTGGCTGACAATTGAAACACATTTCATCCCCAATACCAGTAAATTCTATCCTTTAATCGACAATTTTTATGTAAAATAAAGCCAAACGAACACTAAAAAACAATTTCATTTCAACATTTTCAATGTGAAAAATTATACCAATCAAACACAATAATTTACAATTTTTAGGAAAACAATTTTTAGACAATTCAATTTTCTGGAATTCGTTTTCAATTCAATTCAATTTCATCTTTGTAATCAAACGGACCCTAAATGGTCGAGAAATGATTCCAGGGTTGTCTTCTTCCATCGCTTCTGATGGGGCTACTACTCTGTAATTCATTTGTAGTTGCTAGTCATTGCTCTTCCAAACAGCCCTTAGAATTTTCTGGTAATGATCCACGAAATCTACTTTCTGAGTTCTGCAACATCGTGACTTTCCCCCTAATTTTCATTTCGAGACTTAATGTTTCAGCATTGATGTATACAGCCAAGGGAGGAAGGATAAAAATCCAAAATTCTAACAGGATATTTATTTCTACATTTTTAATACAGTGATTTCCATCTACATCCAGTCTTTACTGGAATTGGAGTTTCATTTTCCTTCTAAGATTCGACTCTAGTATAGATTTATTATGCGGTGTGGATAAGAATTGAATTTTGATTGTCTCCCCATAAGCATTACTAATCAGTATCTTAAACGGTTAAAGTAATGATTTTTCCAAAGTGTTATTGTTTTTGGATCTTGAATCTTTATTGATTCACTTAGCTTATAAGGATATCACATTTCAGCAATTTGTTAGTCGTCAATTTTTTGTTGCTTTTTATTTCTTTTGAGCAAAAATGAAACCTGATACCTTTCTTTATTATTTTTACAAAAAGGAAGTGAAAAAATAAAAAGATGTTTCTCCTTGTTTTAAAGAGAATCATCCTTGAGAGAGTACCAAAAATGGATATTTGTTTTTTCAGTAACTAATATAAGCATAGAAAAATATCAATCATCTATTTATTTGCTTGAAGGCAACCAAGACTGAATTGTTCTATTTTTTATATGCTTTAAGTTGGAACTATGTTTTAAGAAGGCAAAACAGATTCACTTAATTCCATCTGTGCTAAAATAACATAAATAATGAAATAGCTATTATTATAAGTGTCAAGCTTGATAGTTATGCTTGTGTAGTGGATATTTTGGTGAATTATTTGATCTCTTTCTTATTTTAAATACAATGACAAAGTCGAAAAATTTGAAGGTAGAGGGAAAGATCCCTTCCTAAAGCAGATGAAAAGTTAAGTCTCTTCTCAGAATGTTGTTGATTGATCAGAAAGATTTATTTCTATATTTATATTAGAAACTTCGGTATAAGTTTTCTTCTGCTCAAGAAGGCTTTACATTCTTCTGTTGATTTACTATGAATTTCTATTACTTGTACCTGCTTGATTACTTCTTTGCAAGTAGTTTTGCACAAAATGCTAACATAACCAGAACATAATTTTTGGGTCCCTCATTCCTTGTAATGTAGGGATAACAGTTTCTGAGATGAAATTGCGCAGCAGTTTGTAAATTTCTGCAAACATGTTTAGTAAATTTGCAGAAATTGTGTCTTCTGTAGCAACTCGTTTGTCAGCCCCGAGGAATCCTTCTCTTGCATATAAATCATCTGGATTGCCACCTCTGCGGGGTTCTCCTGATGGCTATACTTTTTCCAGCCCAGTGAAGAAAACTAATTTGAGAGACTCCTCATCCATTCAAGACTTGTCTTCTTATCGACAACTCGATCCAGAAGAAGGTGACCTTAGTCCTGGAGCAAAAAGAAATATAAGTCATGCAATACCTCCAAATCCCTTGCAAAAAGGAAATAGTAGATCAAGTTTTTCCAAGGAGAAGGCATCACCCGGTATACCTTCTAGGCAAAAGAAGTGGGCACAAGTTGTCTGTGTTCTACTCTGTTTTCTGCTATTTGCTTGTCTTACTGTTGCAATGCAGTTTCTTTATTCTAACTGGTTTGGAGGGCCGTCTAAGTTCTATGTTGTGCTTGATAGTGGCAGCACCGGAACCCGTGTTTATGTGTATCAGGCATCTATTAACTACAAGATTCACAAGGGTGGCAGTTTTCCTATTTTATTAAAATCGTTGCCCGAAGATTTCCAGAGAAAAGTTGGGTCCAAGAGTGGGCGGGCTTACAACAGAATGGAAACTGAACCTGGATTTGACAAATTAGTGGGTAACAAGTCTGGGTTGAGGGAAGCAATAGGACCCCTTGTTCAATGGGCTAAGAAGCAAATTCCTGTGAAATCACACAAGAATACTTCCCTCTTTCTTTATGCTACAGCTGGACTTCGCTGGTTGCCAAGTTCAGAATCAGACTGGCTTCTTCATAATGCATGGTCAATTCTGAAGAGATCACCGTTTCTGTGCAAGAGGGAGTGGGTTAAGATTATCACTGGAATGGAGGAAGCTTATTATGGATGGATAGCTTTAAATTATCACGTTGGTGTATTGGGGGTTATGCCTAAAAAGGATACATTTGGTGCACTTGACTTGGGTGGCTCATCATTGCAGGTTACTTTTGAGAGTAAGGAAGGCGCCCTCGATGAAACTAGCTTAAAGCTAAGCATTGGCCCTGTTAACCATCATCTCAGAGCCTATTCTCTATCAGGATATGGACTTAATGATGCGTTTGACAGATCTGTAGCTCATCTTCTCAAGAGGCTTCCTCAGATTTCCAATGCAGATTTGGTTACTGGAGAGGTTGAAATTAACCATCCCTGTCTGCAGTCTGGTTACAAAGAACAATACATGTGTTCACATTGCGCTTCTGTCCACCGAGAAGGTGGAAGTCCTATTGGAGGAAAAAAAACAGGTGAAGGATTTAGGGATGCTATTCAGCTCATTGGAACTCCAAAATGGGACGAATGCAGTGCACTAGCAAAAGTCGCTGTTAATTTGTCTGAATGGTCATATCAGAGTCCGGGAATTGACTGTAAGCTGCAGCCATGTGCTCTTGCAGACGATCAACCTCGTCCTTTTGGCCAGTTTTATGCTTTGTCTGGCTTCTATGTGGTGTACCGATTTTTCAACTTGACTCCTGATGCACTACTGGATGATGTTTTAGAGAAGGGTCGTGAATTTTGCGAGAAGTCTTGGGATGTTGCCAAAATGAGTGTTCCTCCTCAGCCTTTTATAGAGCAGTACTGCTTCAGAGCACCTTATTCCGTGCTTCTATTGAGAGAAGGATTGCATATTCCTGATAACCATGTAATTATTGGTTCTGGAAGTATTACTTGGACACTTGGAGTTGCTTTGTTGGAAGCTGGAAAGGCATTTCCAGATAACATAGAATTTCACAGTTACAGATTATTCTGGGAGAAAATAAATCCAGTTTTTCTCATTGTTATTTTATTGGCTTCGTTGTTTGTCCTAGTTTGTGCATTATCTTGCGCTGGCAATTGGATGCCAAACTTCTTCCGGAAGCCCTATCTCCCACAATTCAGGCATGGCAGTGTAACATCCACATCTGGTCTCAATATTCCAGCTTCTTTTCGGTTTCAGCGCTGGAGTTCTATAAATACAGGTAACTGCCATTTTTATGGATGTAGAAACAACAAATTTATATCTGCACCTTCCAGAGACTTATTTCACATATTTTCTTCACGATATTATCTGAACTATCACCTCATCGTGGTGTTTCAGTAGAGGGAAGAATTAAGATGCCATTAAGTCCAACAACTGCACGCAATCAGCGAAGACCATTCGGTACTGGACTTGGTTTAAGTGGTGTTAGCTTAGAGCTCACTGAGTCTTCCATGTATTCATCATCTAGCAGTGTTGAACGTAGTTATTCTTCGGACAGCTTAGGGCAGATGCAATTTGACGGTGGTAACATGGGTTCATTCTGGGCCCCACGTAGAAGTCAGACGCGTTTACAAAGCAGGAGATCCCAATCTCGAGAAGAACTTTTCAGTAGAGGGAAGAATTAAGATGCCATTAAGTCCAACAACTGCACGCAATCAGCGAAGACCATTCGGTACTGGACTTGGTTTAAGTGGTGTTAGCTTAGAGCTCACTGAGTCTTCCATGTATTCATCATCTAGCAGTGTTGAACGTAGTTATTCTTCGGACAGCTTAGGGCAGATGCAATTTGACGGTGGTAACATGGGTTCATTCTGGGCCCCACGTAGAAGTCAGACGCGTTTACAAAGCAGGAGATCCCAATCTCGAGAAGAACTTAATTCTTCATTTACTGAGGCACACTTGCTGAAACTTTAAAGCTGCTTCTGATTTTGGTTTGCCGTGCTCAAGTATAATATTGTCGGAGGCAATTGTCATTTATTCCGAGCTTCAAAAAGGAATTTTTGTTGAAATGGAGAATGTTATATCTGACTGTGCTCTCTTGATCAAGTTTTGAATGTTGAGTTGCTCTGAAAGTGGTTGGACAACATGGTTATTCAACTATTTTGAAAAGATACCCATGTGTAAGAGGAAGTGGAAAATTTATTAAACAAGAGAAGCTGGATAAGTGGATTTTGAACGAACTTTGTGGTCAAATTTATTGCATAATCTAAAGTTCCCGAACTTTGAATCCATTGTAGCTTCAACCGGGCTTCTGTCAGCCAGTGGTTACTGAAATCTTCAGAGTCGGATCGATTTGGAACCTATACAAAGGCTACCTTGCTGCTCACCACAATCTCTGAAGGGGCTTATGTACTCCACTTCATATCACCAAAAGACAAAGCCCAGAGCGGAAGGAGGACTTGAATCCTCACATGTCATTCCGGTTTTAAACTTGGTTGTGCTCTTCCAGTTGACAGATTCCTGGGACAAAGGAACTCCTCGAGGCAGAAGATTGTACCTGGAATTAGAAATGCAAGCTGTGTCCCCTCACACTACACAGATAAACAAATTTGTACATATTTCTGGTGGATTCTCTTACAATATGCCAGTCCATTGAGGATTAGAAATAGGCGTAATTGGACAAAATTATATGTACATGTCTCAATTATGTTAAATATTCATTCCCTTAATTTCTCTTTTTAACAATCCAAAACTATAATCATGAAATAGAGAAACTTTAATAACTCGAATACTTCAGAGCTGGAAGATTTCAGTCGTCCTACTTAACTTTTTTCTATTTACACACGCTATTTCTAATTTTTATCTAGCATTTATTATCCCCAATATTTCATTTTTTGGTGTTCATGGTCCATAAAACAATTCTGTCCGAAATTTCTGTCAAATTATAATGAGTTTCTCACGTCTTGAAAAACATGGGTGTTAATGCAATTGGAATTTTATAAGCCAAAAATTAAAGGGTGGTTACATAGCTAACAAAGTTTTCTTTTATTCCATTACCTTTTATTTGAGCTAAAGGTTCTCAATCTTTGTGGATTATCACATTTTGAATTTGTTGTTGAAGCTCTTAATTAAGTTAATTTTTACCTGAAGCCCATAAAAAAAAAAAAAAATTTCTATAATTATGTGCAATTTTTTAATCTAGTTTGGTCAAAAATTTCCTAGGAGTTTCACCAAGATCCTCGAATTTTATAAGAAGATTAATACAAAATAAGAAACTTTTCCTTGTGACACGTTTCATAGAGTTTCGATTTTCAAAAGGATAAACATACACTTTTTAACAAATACTACGAAAAATACGGACAAGGGAGTGAAAACTCTTGTCTAGAAATTCAACGTTGTTGTTAATTTAAATACACTATACATGCACAATATCCGAATTTTGGATTTAAAGCATTATTTTTGTCCACAATACTTTCTTGGGGGAGAATTTTCATTTTCTTGTCCAAAATTTTCTTTGTTGCTTTTCTTTGGAGAATGATATTCTAGCAGGCTGAGGCTCACAAGCCTAGTATAGGCTCCTCACAATGAGGAGGACCTCCAGATTGGACTCACTTATAATAAAAAATTGTAAAAAGGCCGACCCCATCTACTTTTGTGCGAGGGCCTGTAAGACCCCTATGAAGAAGGGGCCTGGCAGAACATCATGCTTCTTTTTCTTTTTTCAAGAAACCTTAAATTTACACATTTTCTCTTAGCCTTCTTTAATCGACTAGTTAGAAGATATTGAACTAAGAATTGAAATAGAGTAATCTTATTTAGCACCTATGTTTAACATCGATCTAGGTGACAGCACTCATGACATAAATTATAGCTACTATTAAATACAATGACTTATGGTCCATTTAATAGGACTTGTGGTTTGTTGAAATTTAGACCGATGTTAAATACTACCATTTTAAATAACATTGTTAATTGAAGTAAAGATGCTTATAATGAATTGAATTATGATGCACAATTCAATTACAAGATGAAAGAAATCATGATTGCTACAAGGGAAAGATTTGAGTCATTACTGATGATTAAAATTAGATTTTTAGTTAATTTAATTTTGATAAAAATTGAGAAGATTGCGGTTGAAAAGTTATGAAACCCTTAGATTAGCCCCCGTTTGAAATTCTTTACTTTAACATATTTTACATACTCCTTCTTAATCACATTCACACAATAAAATATTCGACATGTAATATAAAAGCTTCTTTACTTTTTAATCACGCATTCTTCAAAAAATACTATTTAAAACATTTATTTTTAAATTAAGTACGTCTAACCAAGATTTAATTGTTGAGTTTGATTTAGATTATAATTTTGATCAAGCATGGACTAAATCAAGTTTTAGCTAAAAAGGGGAGCACTTAAGAGTTGGAGCTACAACTACTTGTATAAATAGGCATAACCCAGTGGTGCAAATGACAGGAGTGAAGTGGTCTCAATCTTGTTGGTAGCCGCAATGTGAGGGTTCAATTCCTGAAATACGAAATTGGACTCTTTGTGGGTACTAGTGTACGAACAAACTCTTGTTCCTTGACCTGTTGAGGCACATTCCGCGATTTATTTCTCTCACGATGCTTCAGGGGCGAGGGCGTGGGAGCCCTCAAGGTTGGAGTTCAACCATTTTTTTTAAGTTAAAGCCGAAATGAGATACCAAAATAGCTCCCACGAAAGTTGCAATTTCCGGTAATTTTAGGGTTATTTACCATAAAAAATGGTCATTCAATATTCATATTTTCTCCCAAGTAAATCCTTCACATAATCAGCACATTCTGCTGGGAGTCATGTAGTGTTCACCCACTTTGTTTAATGGTCTCCGGACCACTGCAAATCACCATGTAATCGAGCCATCGATGTTTTCTTCTTTCAATCAATGGATCATTATATGGTTGTATCTTTGGAACGAGTTTAAATTGAGGTTTCTTGAGGGGGGCAAAAACTATAGAAAATTAGGTCAAGAAAAAGAAAATTCTCGATTCCAAAGAAACAACCATATAATGATCCATTGATTGAAAGAAGAAAACATCGATGGCTCGATTACTTTGATGTGTCGTAACTTTTGCAACGATTGGTCATTTCGCACAACATTAATAAATGAAAAAGTAAGTCATGAGCACTTCAAAATGGTATTAAAATAGCAATATTTTAATCTCATTTGACATTTTGTAATGAGCACGTCAAATTAGGTCATCAATCGGTCAAAACATTATTTTCTGGAAGAAGAAAAAAAAAAAGAATCGTGTGGGTCACATGAGCCCATTTGGGTCCGCCCATGCGTGTAACATGACGTTTCTGCAGCTTTCTTTTCAAATAATTCTTGACACAATAAACACATTCCGCTCAAATGCATGTTCTCGGGATTATCGGAACTGCTGGTCCACAATAGTTTCATGACAGCGAATTTCCTTTGCTTTTTTCTTTTTTCCTTAAAGAAATCCTTAAATTTACATCGATTTACAAATTTTTGATGATTGAATAACTAGAAGAAAACGATCCATGTGTCTTTCTAGTAAGATTGAGAGAAATAAAATAAGAAAAAAATCATATCACACCATCTCCGAAATAAATAAATGTTTCTTTTACGGATGAATTCCAATTATGGTGGACAAATTGAAGATAAGATCGATGTGGAGATTAATATGTCAAGTTCATGAAGCATTTGAGCGGAATGTGTTTCTTGTGTCAAGGATTATTTGAAAAGAAAGCTGCAGAAACGTCATGTCACACGCATGGGCGGACCCAAATGGGCTCATGTGACCCACACGATTCTTTTTTTTCTTCTTCCAGAAAATAATATTTTGACCGATTGATGACCTACTTTGACGTGTTCATTACAAAATGTCAAATGAGATTAAAATATTACTATTTTAATACCATTTTGAATTGCTCATGACTTACTTTTTCATTTATTAATGTTGTGCGAAATGACCAATCGTTGCAAAAGTTACGACACATCAAAGTAAGCCATTCCAAACTTGTATTTCGAGAATTTGCTAATTTTCAAAATTCGCTGATGATAGTATACTATCAAAATTCACAAATCAACTGTCCTCTAAAAGATTGTTTCGAGAACTACATCGTGATCATATTAAATGGTTTAAACAGATATAAAAAATAGTTAACTATGTGTCAAACATAATCCTTAAAGAGGCGTCTAACTAGTCTTTCCTTTAAAAAATTTCAAATATTTCATTAACGTTTATTATTTTTACACAATAAAATTTTCAATATAATTTACATTGTTTTATCAGAAAACTTTACATGACATATAACATCAAAATTTTAGGATCGTTACGTATTAAATGTAATTTGAATTACTTTCGAATTACTTTTACATTAAATCTAAATTTCTACAAATGTGAATTTTATTTCAATTCATTTACTTTCTATATTCAATATGATTTACTTGCCGTCAGCTCAACATCTATCGACCAAATGGTAAACAAATCTATATAAGTAACAAAATTCATATAATAATATTGATAATAATATAATTATTTTCATTAGTATTATATTATTTTTTAAAACCTTACACTACAAAAAGTCTGGATCCGCTTGTAAAATCTTTAAATATAAGAAGTTATTTACTCTAGTCACTTGTTAATTTTATTGAATTGAAGTGTAAGAATTAAAACATGAAGTTTTTTAGATTTGTAATCGAAGCTCCTAAATTAGTCAATTATCAGTCGGACCCAAAAAATGTCCACGACAAATTCCAATTTTATTTTATTTTTTGTGTGTCAAAACTCAAAAGTTCCCTAAAGTTTTACGAATTTACTGGGTGAAGAAAAAAATAATAGAGAACATTTTCAGTCTCTAATATGTTTTGTTAAGTTTTCAAAAAGCTTCAATTTTCAAAACAAAAACGCGTTTCGAAATCTAGCCTTCCAAGTTTTCGAACAAAAAATTGACAACATTGATTAGTTTCGTTTTCTATATGTATTTGTCTTAGTCCCAAGCCTCATTATTTTTCATTACATTACATTTCATTTTTCTCTCTCCTATTTTCAACCTCACAATCTTTCATAGAATAATATTACACGTAAATCAAAATTTTTTCCATCTTTTTCAACCACTTATTTTTCAAAAAACACTATTCCACCCATTAATTTCCCAATGTAGAATAGTTTCATTTTTCTTTTACGTATTTGATCATTACTGTAATTTTTCATAAATATACTTCATTGTCAACGTAATACTCATATAAGCCACCAATAAATTACTGCCACCAACACGCAAAAATTGTCTTCGCAAAATCTAGAAAATGATACCACAAAGAAACAGGTCAGCAGGAGAAAAATCGAGCTCACATTTATGCAACAGCTTCCTCTTCATGGAGCAGCATCTGATCAAAGTGCCAAACGCCTGACAATCCAAAAAAAGGAGTTCATTTAAGGCATCGAAAACACACAAGCGGATCCATCATATATAAAATGTCCAAAAATGGGACTTTTGTATCCATACCATGTCCTTTGCCCACTCTTCTCAGCTGGGAGACATATTCTGATATCTTCTTAATGGCTTCCACCTAAGACAGAAGAAGATTCTTAAACGGGTATCAAAACATTATAGGGATATACCTCTGTAATTAAATCAGGCACAAGAATATTGCATAGAACATGATCAGTACCTGCTCAGCCAAGAACTCGCTTTCAACAAAATCAGACAACTGCGCATCATTGTTTCGGGAGGCTACCTGTTTTTTAAAAGTTGAAGCATGTCAGTCAAAATATAGCTCAATTTGCCTTGAAGCTAATGACATAGAATTTGGTTTCTTTCATGAAACTAACGTCAATTAATTCCATTCAATTTTTGCTACAGCGTCAATGTTAATATTAGCATCACTGGTGTTTAAGTAGATAAGAAGTCTAGAAGACTTACAGCATGCAAGTTTAGAAGCTTCTCATTTGTCAATTTCTCCAGAGAGAGTGAAAGCTCCATAGCTGCCCAACAAAAAAATGATTTAGTCTTTAATGATCACAATAAAACAAGATCATAACCCCCAAGAGATAGATGGACAGAAAAATATAGCCATAGAATAATATTTGATGTCTCCTACATTTATAACAGAAAGCATATTCAAACTGATACAGTATATCGCATTTATTTAGTGTAACAGCTGTTATGGTTAACATGTAAACCTTTAGAAGCATATATTTATGTAAAAACACAGGATTCTTGAAAGAAAATATAATTTAAAGAGGAACAAAAAGATTCAAATTTTAAGTATAATGCACAAATCGCCATGAGTATATAAATAAATGAATTACGTGTCCGAAGTCAAACAAAATATATTCTTCTTGTAGTTGAAAACTATAGTACACAGTGCTTTTTAGAGTCCGTGCGGATTTTTCTTCTGAAAGGCTCACTTTCAAGCGTTCATAGGGAAACAGAGCTTATTTTGAAATTTTGTCAAAAATACTTCTTCCTGCTCAGCACGTTCTCCCAAGAAAGTAAACAGAGGATTATTTCTTCATTTTTTCTTTCTAAAAAGTAACTTTTAAAGAGAAACCAAATACATTTTGATAAAAATATTACTCAAAAGTACATCTGACTTACTTTTAAGTATGGTCAAACACGCTCTTATTCAATTGCAAATAACCTTGCTATAAAATGTTTGCCGACCCCTATGTGACCTTCTATTCGACTAGATCAAGTTAAAGTGAATCCAGCGGGCACATGTTTTTTCTTCATTTTCTTATTTTCTCTTATACTTCTATGTCTTTATAAACACACACAAATTTATAAAATGAAGCATATAAGTTGGCCCCACTCGTCGATCTCATCAACTTTGGATAGACATGAAAATAAAATACAGATAGTTACAATAGAAGCTATAAGAAAATTAATAACCAAACAATTATAGGATAAACATAGCCATCCACTGCACCTCTCTCGGCATAAAATATCTTGGTACAGCATGCAATTATAAGCACGACTGCATAATAAGTTAGAAAAGAACTTATTACCATATAATGCATCCCCTTTTTCGGCATGGTCGAACTCTGAAAGTGGCATCAAAATTGACTGCAGCTTCACTTTTCCACCACGCTTGTTCTGAATTTCGTCGAACAAACAATATTATTCATAATTTTAACAAAATTGTGAAAAATCAAAGAAAAATAAGCTAAGCAAATGATCAACCACCTGATATTCCATCAATTTCTCAGCATGATCTCTTTCCTCTTCGCTTGACTCCTTAAAAAACCTATGAGAGAACAAATCATAAAAGTAGATTTAAGTAATATTCAATGAAAATGGAAAAAGGTTCAAATTTTTTGAAGTTTTGAGATTTACTTTGCAAGACCCTTGAGAGCAACATTGTCTCTATCAAAATAGGCAAACATGGCATGGTATGCATAGGAAACATTGTACTCCACACTGTAGTTCACAATAAATATTTGAAAAAATCATTAGACTTCACAAAATTAGCATAAAATTCAAATCCATCTGAAACAAACGAAAACCCACAAAAAAATTATATAAAAAAACGTAAAATGAGATCTACAGATTCCCAAAATTGAAAATAAATTGAACAGCAGATTAAATCGAAGAAAGCCCACTTGATTTGTTCATTAATAGCGGCTTCACACTCATCGGCGTACTTCTGGCGAGCAAGTGAATCTTGTGGAACAGTTGGCACAAGCTTAAGCTCCTTCTTCACCTCTTCAAAGGGCTCAAAAACGACGCCGGTTAAAGGCTTGTTGTTCGAGCTTTTTGTAGCGCACAGCACAAACCCATTACCCCTCTTGCCCACAAAATTTGAAGAAGAGGAAGAGGAAGAGGAAAACAAAGAACTCATATTATCGCCATGGGAATTCAATAAGCCATAAGCCGATGCAACTTTCAGAAGCATTTTCGAAGCGAAAAACGTCGATCGAGAGTGAGACAGAGGGAGAGGGAGAGAAATTTCTGGAGAGAATTATCTGGGGAATATGAGAGGGACCGTGTCTGGGTGGATATGAACAGGTTGGTTGTTTGCATGTTGAGAGAGGGGGTGGTACGGGCCGTCGGATGGGGATATAGATGTAGGGTCAGGATTGAATGTAGGAAGGGGGCGCGTGGCCAGCTCATGGAAAAGTGTGGAGTCTGCAGATTATCTGGGCTGGTTCTGATCCAAAGTAGAAAAGGTTGAAAATTTTTAGTCCTTAAAAGTTGCAGCAAAATCAGTCGCTAAAATTTGTAAAGGGTTCCAATCTAGTCCCAAATAAAGTTCAGCTTACATTTAGGTCCCGTTTGGTACCCATTTTTATAAGAATGAGAATAAAAAATATAGTCATTATGGGATCCACACAAGAGATAAAAAGTCAAATATGGTGACTGTATGTGATGGATAACGATCATTTTTTTCATTTTTGTGGCTAAATAATGGAAATCAAACGAGGGCTTAAAGTCGAATAAAACGGGGTTCAAGGCTTAAAGGTTTCATCTCGTCGTCTTATTTTTAGCATGATTAAGTTTTTCTTTTCTTGATCGGTGGATCATTACGTTTTACGTGACAATGAAATGAACATTCCGACAATACATTATGACGTTAATAATGTAAGGGAACATATTTGATTATGGAGTATAATCAATTGAAAGTATAGCTGATTTAATTGCTTCATGGACCATTTTCTTAACGCAAATGAAGCTTGCGTGAAAATGGAACTAGAAATTACGTCAATAAACAGCGGTGTTAATCAATCCACTCTATTGTTGGAATATTTATCAGTAAGAAAGTAAAAATTCAAGTTCTATTAATTAGGCATTGTTAGATTAAAACCAACTAGTTTTTTCATTCCTTAATCAGAACCATTAAAATAATCTCAAAAGTTAGATGCATTTCCATTGTTATTCATCCTCATGATTGGTAATATTTCTGACAATAATGTTGAGCAACTGAGTTGTTAGAATGTTCTTTTTCATTCTAATACAATTATCCATAACAACACTCCTCCGAGTTACTTTTTTAAAAGTATAAAAAAAGGGAAAATTACAGCAAAAGTTCCAAACTTTTAAAATATTTGCAGACTTTCCCCAAACCTTTGATTTGTTGCAACCGTCACCCCTAATCTTTTCAAACGTTGCAGATGAATCTCTTTTGGACGGTTTCCATCCACAATTCCGTTAGTTGACTAAAAATTAAACTTTGACCATATTTTTAATATTTTAAAAGGGGGTAAAAGAGTAATTTCCCATTTATCACATTATATAGGAATGAAATTAGAAAATGAAAAATTGAAAAACACAACCTGTCTTCTTCCTCTCACCCCGCCCTCGCCCTCGCCCTCACATCCACGCACCGTCGTAGTCGGGAACCCTTTCCTCTCAATGGAGCGCCACCGCTGTCTTCTTCTTCTCTGGAATACCCTTCCTCACACTACTCAAATAAAAAATCCAAAATCTTTCATGCCGGGGTCAAGTTTCTTGAAACCGTAGGAGAGGGATACGTTCTAGAAAAAGATGAAGATGAGGAAACTGAAGAGGAATACTAAGTGTATGTAGAACTTGAAGGGGACATGTATCTCGAAGAAACAATTCTAGATTTGGGCCTCCTGGGATTGTTTAAAACCCCATTACAATCATCTTTTTTGGAAGACAATAATGGAGGTCTTCTTCAAGCTATGATTTTGGGGGTTTTCAGAAACAGCAGCCACCATCTTCACAACCAAGAAAGTACATACACATACATGCAGAATAAAAAATGGAAATTCACCTCTCAAATTGTACTTTCAAACCAAAATAAACTTACCTAGAAGCCCTTCTATCATCACCATACGCAAACTTGCAAGAAAAATCAAGAAATCCCACTGTAACTCAAGAAACCATAATAGGTCTTTGCAAGATTCCACATTTTCCCAAGATTTCTTGGTATAAATGTAATGGATTACAGTTCAACTAGTTTCCCAAAAAAAAAAAAAAAAAA